ATTGGTTTTCGATCTATTCGCTCGCAGCACATATCACATCAGAGCAGAAACAGCAGCAGCAGCATCCGCATCCCATTCTCCGACTAACCAACCACTTAATGCCGCTGTTATTTTTTTTCTCACATTTTGTTGGTCTCCCAACAACTTTGGCCATGAATAGCATCAATTGAACATTACTTTATATGCTCGGCTGCCATGATGTGTATGTGTTTGTGTTTTCGCGCGTTTTGCACACACAAAAATACGCACATTTTCCAGTGCTAGGATAATGGCACAATTCTCTCTATGCGTATGGTAAAATATCTAATTGAAATGGTTTTACGTAATAATTATATTGAGCATTTTTGTTCGGTCGCACGCGCTCCCGTGTAAAATGGATTATTCAAATTGCTGAGGCTTCGTTCGCAATTTGCGACTTATTTAAAAAGTTTTCTACCAAATTTGTGCATAAAATCGTCTACGATCAAATGAATTTCCCCGATTAAATTTATGCATGCAACTAAAAATGAACGTTGAATTTTCCCAAATATATACTCTACATATTCCATAGACACATTACAGCTGCGGCCGGTCGATTGTGCGCGCAAAGCGAATATCAGGCGTTGTGCAAGAGGAATGAGTGGACGACGGGGAATGGTGGTGGTGGTGGTGGTGGTGGCGAAAGGCATGAGATGGAAAAATGAAAACATCAGCATCAGCAGATACTTGTAGCAAAATGGGCTTAAGTTCAATTGCAAAACGGACGGCAAACTACTATATACACATTACACAGCTCCCTGTACAATATTTTAATGTTGCTGGTAAGTAACAAACTACTCGGCCAGGAGAGATGGTTCGAGGCCGGGCCGCCAATTTCGGGGCGATGAGCTAGAGGAACCAACGAGCAAACAAGAGGAAAACAAACCAAAAAAAAAAAAATCAACAACAACAACAAACATCCCCATCATCATCATCATCACCATCATGTCCCTCACCGTCGTCGTCGTCGTAGTCATGCTATCGCTCTCTTCCCGATGTGCGAGCGATACACATGCATACAGACACACACACATTCACAAGCCAATGCCGATGAACGAGAGCAAGAGAAAAAGCATAAAATTTTCCGTTAAAAGCATCATAAATTTATATTAAATTATTATTAGAACATAAATTATTATTATCAAAACTTATATTATGGCGTGCGCTTATGTATAAGCACATTGGCATTGCCATTTGCCGTGGTGGCGTTGTATGGCGTGTGTCCTGTCTCTTTATCTCTCGGCTTTCATTTTCTCTCCATTCTATTTCTTTTGTAAATACATTTACAGCAGGAGCGGGAGCAGTAGAAGTAGCAGCGGTGGCGACGTCGACGGCAACCAGAACGGCCGCAATGGCAGCAGCAGTAGCAGCAACTGTACCGATAGGAAAGCCACACACCGACGGCCATCATGTTACATACAAGAGTCGCTTTTATGTGATATATTCGGGTCCATAATGCTATACTATCGTATGTCAATGTCTCGCAATTGCAAAGGAAAATCTCGATGCCCGTGCGTATGCACGGGGCTATGATCAAAATTTTCACCATTTACATGAATCAGCTTGCCAGCATATACATATATTTAGGCATGCGGATATGGGAATGCGTATGTGTTCACATATATATGTGCGCACTTTCCTTCATTCGTTCTCTGCACCGCTGTTCACGTTGTTGTGCCACTGCTACTGCTGTTCTTGTTGCCGCTCATGTTTATTATTCGTTTGGATCGGTTTTGCTGTGTAATTTTTAGCTGATTTGCAATAATATTGGTTGGCTTTAGCAAAATAATGTCTACCTAACCACCTCACAGACACACACACATACCGGGGATCATACAGGAAAGTTTTAGGCGTAACGAAAACGGACAACGGCGCAAAAACTCCGATTTCTCTTTTGGCAGTGCCGTTTCGCTCGCGCCCATCATCAACGTCGTCGTCGTTGTCGTCGTTGCTGTCACCGACCGCCACCCCATTCCAACTAGTTTCGGTAATAACGAAATATCGTAAGCCGACGTTCATTTATCATGTGCAAAATTTAATGCATGTTTGCTTGCTTGAAATAGCGATGCAATGCCTTGCCACTTGCTTATGCTTGGCACTGCCCGATGAGCAAAACAACAAAAACAATAGCAAAAGCAACGGTCGGTGGTATCAACAATAGCAACAGCAACAGCAACAGCACCAACACGATTGAAAAACCGACCAAAAGAAGAGTTGAATGAAACCTAATAAATATTGGCTCTTGTTTGCTGGCTGACGTTTTCGTCTTTGCACAATTTTTCATGCATAAACCAAATATGAATGAATTTTCAGTTTTTCTCCTTGCCCGGAATATATCGGTGTGTGTGTGTGTGTGTGTGTGACAGAGTCATATCTCACCACACTTGAGCTTTGAAATGCTTCATTTTTGGATTGCTATGCTGTGAGCCGATCCGGTGTGTTCGTTCGATGGACCCAATCACCCTCTAACAAACGGGCGAATGACAGATATGCGAGCGAGCGAGCGAGAGAGAGAGAGAGAGAGAGCGCAACGGGAGAGCTACCATGTTTTGTTATTGCTGTATATTCATAAGAGTGATTTATTCGAACGCATTAATTTTCACTAATTATGTTTTGCAAAGTTTTGTTGTATGTTTGTGCCTAGATAAAACGGCAAATCAGTCGACGGCAACCAAACGTCATCGACACCTACATTAACCATCTCTCCCTCGGAAAATATTCCATGTTTCGTCCGGCAACATACATAGAGCGTGCAATTCAGTCACTGGCAGCAGCTTTATCATTTTAAATTTCAATTTTCGTTTGATTCTTTGCACGGGCGCGAGCAAAATACAAATACAAATACAAACACACACATACACATGGGTGATTCGTCGTAATTTGGTGAAGTGTGAAAAATGTGTGTTTCGAGAATTTCTTGACAGATATCTGTTTCATGCGCCTGTTCGTTACAGCGGTTGGATCGGGTGAGAAAGATCGAGACACATAGAAAAACTAATTTAAATTCCTGTTCAATGTTGCAGCACGATGAAATTCCATTGGGATTCTTTGTTTTAATTCAACCCATCTTAAAAAATTAACTCCAAACGACCCGCGGAAAAAAGAAGAAACGACGTAAAAATTACGTGGAAATGGGTACATTTTTAGTGTGATAAACATTGTGTGTTTTGTTGTTAGTTTTTGGTTTTCTTCAAAATTCCAAACGATGCAGCAAAGGCGCCATTTCCATTGAATTAAAAATGTGTACAAGCAAAATGCTATGCATCTTTCTATGTATACCATTTCTATGTGTACAAATGCATAAATATCAAACACCCGCACACATACACACATAAACACATACACATACTCATATACGCTCACATTCGTTCGCTTGGCATTTCCTTCACTGGAAGAAAAGCATTTCGGTTAAATCATGCAACCAAAAGCATAGAAAAGCTCGGTACATTTATCAATAACTGAATCTGATGGTGATGGTGGTACTACTGCTGCTTATGCCATGCCATTCCATGCCGTGGCCGCTATATGTACTCTCCAGCGTGTATACATAAAATATTGTCGTTAAAATGAAAATCGACACAATACACGGGAGCAAATGGTGAAAAAAAGAAGAAGGGAAGGTGGCAAAAAACACTCCCTGCTCGCTCTCTTTCTCCCCCTGGCAGCATATATGGATTCGTCGTATGCGAGATGCAACCAACGCAATAGAATGGGAAAATTGGAAAATCTGAAGTGAAGAGAAAACGACAACAACACGACGAGGAGACGAGAAATGATGTGGATGCGGGCGTAAATTGCCACCACCATTCGTTCCAGCCATTGTGTATGTGTGTTTGGATCTGTGTGTATGTGCATGAGAGTGCGATAGAGATGGACAATACACTGCCGGCATAGGGTGAATGAAACCGATGCGGGGGAGAGAGCAAGAGAGAGTTGAGAGTGATTGCTTCATATACCAAAGTTGAAAATGAAATTTGAAACATAGTGCACATTAGCCACGGTGTAGTTATGTGGCGTCAATTTGAATGGAATGAGTCGAGTAGAGAGTGAGGGAGCGAACGAACGAACGAGAATGCTGGGACGTTGATTCGTCAAGGGGGTGGTTGGTAAAAGTGAAAGAATAAATGAATACTTAGTGTTTTTTTTTTTTCGGGAGGGCGATGTATGGAAATTGTGATTTGAGGCAAGACGAGAGAGAGAGGGAGAGAGAGAGAGAGAGAGAGAGAGAGAGAGAGAGAGTGATGAAAACGAGATGCAATCATTCGGTGTAATCTTGAAAAACGAAATTCAGTCAGTCGCTCGACGAAATTTAATTGGAACGAATGCCAAAGTGCCAAGCACATCAAGAAAAAAAAAAACGCTAAAAAACACAATTCGAAATGCTGTAAAGTTTGCATGCTTCTTTTTCCATTTTAATTGAAAATTAATGAATTATGTGTCAATAAAAATTTCCCATCAGCCGTCAAACAGTCTCTCGTACAACAACAGTGTTTCTTTTTTTTATTGTTGTTGTTGTTTCTGTTCAATTCGTTTGCATACTCCGTCAGTATTTGCCAATTGCCAATCTGAGTTCGTTTTGAATTTAGAAAAAAAAAGAAAACGGGTTCCCTCATCTTCTTCGTTCATAATATACTAGTGACTCGGTATCAAAGCGTACTCAACCCGAATCCACACATATGAAACTTTTCTATCATCTAATTTGAATGTGTGTGTGTGTGTGCTCAATTTGCATGCTACTCGGATATCTCTTGTTTCTATGAGAGAAAATCACTTATGCCGGTCGAAATTCAAGAGAGAGTTCCGTTTGAAGTGTTTCACGAAACGACTGAAATTTCCGGGCCAAATACAAGAGCTCCAATGTACAGACAGAGAGATCAACGAATAGGAAAAAAAACACAACAACAACACATTGTACATATAAAGCTGGTTGAATCGAAAAAAGAGCAGAGAATGAAAGACGAAAAAAAAGCACATAAACTTACCATGGGTTGTTGTTGCGCTTCCTTCATTTGACTAGGTTGAGCTGCTTGTTGCTGTGGCTGCTGAGCTTGTTGAATGTGATGCTGTTGAGCCGATTGTTGTGGATGCGAAGGATGTGAGTGTTGCTCTAAACCTGTAATGATAAACGACACAGAAGGAATTGGTAAGTACAAAAGCGAGACAGAACGAGAGATTCAGACAATTTTTAATTGACCACTTGACGTTGATTCTCCAGACTGACTATAATGGAAAATCTGGGGATGGAAATGATCATTTCGTTCCACGTCAAGTGCTCGCTTGAAATACAGAGAGGCAAGAAAAGAACACAAAGACGAAACGAATTTCTTGAATTTTGAATTGGGAGTGTGTATGTGAATACCTGTCGTAGTGGTTGGCGGAACTTGTGGTGGTATCACTGCCTGATGCTGTTGAGGATACTGTGGTGAAGTTACTTGTGGCGGAGCACTTGAGGTCGGTGTTCCGTTGCTGGACACTATAGTAGTTGCGGTTGCTGTTTGGGTAGGGAAAATTTTTTTTGCTTTGTTCAAAAACCAAGAATAAGTTTTCATCGGAGAGTCAATCAAAAAAGAAATTCATTTGATGTGCTTTCCACAGATCAGTGTGTAAATGAAATGAGACGCAATTGAAATGTAATTTGAGGGCTGAGCTTTGAGTGGTGGTTTTTGTGGTTAGAAAAAAAGACAGAGAATGAATGAGATACGTACGTGCTTGAGCAGTGTTTGGTGATGGATGTGGCACGGCTGCTGGTGCAGGACTGATCGATGAAGTAGTACTTGGTTGAGCTCGAGGCGATACGGCGGCTCCAGAATTTACCTTTCTTCCGCGACCACTCTGCAAAAATAAAGAAAAAAAAAATTGAATTTTGGCGTGAGTTACGGGACACAAACGAAATATAAATATATGTTGATGTTTTTTTTTTGGTATTTTTGGCCTGATATTTTTGGATCGACGCCGTTAGTCGCGCTCGCGCGCACAAACACACACAAACAGCAAGGAAAGAAAAGCAATATTTACTTAAATTAATTCGTTGAGAGTTGAGTTTTATCTCATTTGAGAAATTTATGACTTTAATTAAAAATCGGCGCTCACACTCACTAGCACGCGCACAAAAGTTGTGCTATTCACAGAGTCAACGCCAGCGACAATCATCTAAATAATTTTTTTCTTCTTCTTTCGTTTTTCTTTTTTCTTTTTTTTCACTTTAAATTGTAATTAAAAACAATAAATTTTCATCCTACATTCACTGAAATCGTGCAATCAACTAGCTTTTCTGTGTTCAATACACACACACACATTCGGATGTCTGTCGCTGGTCGCTGTTTTGAATCTTGGTCGTCGTTTTCTTGCCTCTCTTCGTTTTCCAAACTTGAATGTTTTTGAATTGAAATCCAAATACACAAATCTACATACACACACTTTTCACCATTTTTTTGTTCGCTCTGCAGAATTGTGGAAAAAGAAAAATGAACGACGTAAATAACGGCATAATGTTGAGAGCGCGAGAGAAAAATTAAATCTTGTAATAATAAATTTCAATCTGGACATGGATTATAATCGTACTTTCTAACCAGTATCCCAGTTGAATGGACTGGATAGTGTGTGTTTCCATGTGAATCATAAATCTGATTAGATAGCATACGATACAACAGCACAAAAAATGGTATCCCTTTAATAATTGAACAGTTTGAAAAGTTCTTGAAATTGTTATCGAAATCGCTTCGATAAGTTCATTCATGAATTACTGTGTTTGAGTTCACATAAAGCCCATTGTACATGTGATAAATGCAAAAAGTGCATTTTTGTCGATTTGTATTTTTTTCGGTTGTTATTGGTATTCCACGAAAATCGATTCGGAAGGTATTTTCCGTGGTCGCATATCGACTTTGTTCGCAGCAAACGTGTGAACGTACGACCGGCCGCGCAAACGAACAAAAACAAAACATAAAATTGTCGACAGTCATTAAAACCGTTAGATATTTTATCAAATGAAAAAAGAAAAAAAAAACTATTTAAATTATGTAAGTTGTTAGAAAGTTGCACATGCACTAAAAGTGCCAGAGCATGCACGATGTGTTTGCTTTTTTTCTCTTGCAACGAACCGCGTCGATTTTCTTTCCTCTTCTTCACTTCGTCGTCTACTTTCCTATTCCTCTCCAGCCGTCTTCCATTTTTATGATGGTTTTGCGTTCCTTTTCTTTATGTGGCTGTCTCGTTTTGTTTGTGCGCCTCAGCACTCGCGGAATGTGCTTAGATTTATTTGCAAGCGGTAACGAGCAACAATTGCAAACGATGATGCACACAAAGCCCGCGTGTAAAAGAGATGAAGGCAGAGTGAGATAGAGGGAGATAGAGAAAGACAGAGAGCAAGCTATAGAGAAGACAAGAGTATGAACAAGCACACAGACGAAGAGAATGCGTTGGTTTTAGGTAAACAGACTCATATTATCCACGGGCAACGGGTCGTGATGACATACACGCGAAACAACAACCATAATGATTCACAAAATAAATAAATTCTTGAATTGAATGAAAGCATTAAATTTTGCGCGATAATCAGCAAAAGTGCATCACGCTCTCTAGAGCAAAGACAAAAAAAAAAGAGAAGGCGCAAAAAAGCACACATGCATACAATTTTGTAAGAAAACAATTCGAAATAGATGCACACTCGATTGTGAGAGAGAAACATACTCGTGAATACGGTAGACTATAAGATAGTAGATATAAACGCAATATGCAATGATCCAATGGAATGGAAAAGCAAGAGATACACTCAAACTTTCAAAGTCGTAGTAACGCAGACGAATCGAGATAAGAAAACAAAATGTTTGAAAAACGAACAAAACAGAAGTAAATTGGAAAAGAAAGAGAAAACAAGAGGTAGGAATAATGTACAAGAAACAAAAAAACAGAGATGAAAAATATCAACAGCAACAGCGACAGCAACAGTCAACTGAACGAGATTGAGAAACAGCAAACCAGAAAAATAAACACGGTGAATTTCAGAAAAATGTGTACCTAAAAACAAACAAGTCATTGCATTTGATTATGGGTGGTTGCTGTTGTTGTCTTCGTCGTTGTTGTTCGTCGTCGTCGTCATTTTCATTCGTGCAATGTCTTATTTTTCATTGAGTGCTTGTACTGACTTTCATTTGACTCCACACTTTTCCCAACTCTCGCACCAAGTATCCATAAATTGAATATTTATTAAATCAAGTGCTTAGTGTGTCAGTGTGATGATTGTGCGAATTTCGGTGTGCGTGCATCGCGCACCATTCACATTTTTCGGATATTTTTGCGTCCATTAACGAAAACCAAATGGGGAAAAAAACTCGGTGCATGGAACCACACAAAAACGCAATGCCACGATTGAAAGGATGTGCAATGTGCAGTGTGCAGTGTGCACAGAATCGATGCGATATAAACACATATGAAAAAAGCGATAACAACTGGGATTTCAACCAGACCGAAAATACATGAAGAGATTTTATTCGATTTGCTCGCGACCGATGCACGCGGTTGCAGTGGAAAATGGCTTGCTGATAGAGGTTTGTCAGTAGAATTACCAATTTTAAATTGAGCCCAACATAATAATAGCAACACATTATAAGCAATATAGTTCGTGTACACCGCGTTATAGTTCAATTGGTGTGTTTCGACTGCAACTGCCGTGACATTTTTTTTTCTGTTGTCGTTGTTGTTGTTGTTGCTTCATTTTTGATTTTTCGCAAATTGACCGTGTTAAGTGAATAAGTGTCACATACATGACACATATTTCTGTTATGATAAAAATGAATGAAGCCATGTTGCCGCGCTTTATTCAGGCCATCTTGTTGAATACAATTTTTAGATAACATTCACTTTGGCGCAAATAGCGTGCGCGATCGCCCGCTGTTTTACCATTTTCAATGTATGCACCATTTATTTAGATAGTGGCATTCTTTCATGCCGATTCATTTCACCGGAGACTAATGCATTTCATTTAATATATCGGTATAAAGTAGAGAGAAAGCATCGAGTGCACTATTCAATCTGTAGAAAATAGCATAGTCCAAGCAAATAAGTGTCAATTCGATTGTTTTCTTTTCACTTCAAGAAAAAAATGCCCATTTAGGTATATGTATGTTCATTGTGTGCTTTGTATTCTTGCTAAACCAAACAGAAGTGTACTCGCTTTTTTCTTCTTCTTTGTTTGCTTAACTTGGTCGTAAATATTTGCATAGCCAAAGCATAATTGAGACGAATATTTCATTTTACTCTCTCCCTCTTTGCCGTTTTAATTTCTATGCTGGTCCTTTGCAATGTTTAGCACTCATGAATATTCTGTATGAAGTCGAATTAATTACGGTTTTTTTTTTGTATGTGTGTGTGATCCTCGTTTGTGCTTCAATTGTTTTCGATTTAAACGGAAGTCTCTTTGAACATTTTTGGCTTTTACCGTCAAATTAACGGTCATGAATGAATTAGTGAGCAAGCGAGCGAGTGAGCGAGCGGTTGAGGCCTAAAGCAAAAAGACTATACCACTATGCTTTATGTCAAACAACATGCTCTCATGCCAATTTTTGAATGCTAAAAGATTGGCAGCATGGCTTTGACGCAAAGAAATTGTGTTTGAAGAGGCAGCAGAAAAAAAAGGAAACGGCCAACACAGGAAAGGACCATTATTATTCTCTCTCTTTTTTCGGGGTTAAATAACTTGTCGAAAGTAAGTGTTAAGCGCCAATTAGACCAATTAAATGTCGACAAAGCACAATGATGAACAATTAAAATTTGTTAACTACTTTAGCATTCTTTTGATTCGATAGAAGCGCGCGACCGTTTGACTCGTTCGGTTTATTCAAGTTCGTTTTTTTTCTGCTATTTTGTTATTCGAGATTCATTTTATCTGTTTTGAACTAAATCCAATTTTTTTGGCATATGCTATGGCCACTTGAGCCCATACTTTTCAATAATTTCACTAGTTTTTTTTTCTTTTCATTTCTTTCTGTGTGTTTGTGTGAATAGGAATGGACAACTGGGTCGGGATGCTGTTAATATGCACAAATTATGTACAAGCTCGCATGATTCTACTCTTCGCTCCCTCATACCCTTTAAAACTACGATGATGATGACGGCATATTATGGTTTTTTGCATTATGACGAATGAAATGAGTGCCAGAGACATTAGCAAAATTTTTATTGGCCATTGCGAGCGTGGGATAGAGCAAGAGAGGTAGAGAACGAGAGTAGACGAAAAAAAAATGGTGAAAAAGAAGAAGAATAAAAAATATAACCACGGAAACGGTGTACACAGCCACTTGGATTCAATGATTTGAGTGGTTTTTAAGTGCACGCCGCGCGGTTTCTCTCGCTCTCTCGCTTTCTCGCTCGATCTCTGCAATTTCTCACAATTGAAACTCCAATTTTCTTTTTCGCATCTCATTTTTGCCGTTCATTCCAATGGAAATTCCACGTTGGCTCTGTGTGTATTTGTTGTGTTTTAATGGGCAGTTTTTTTCTTCTTCAAAATGAATTTGATGCAAAATACTCGGCTTTTACGATCGCATTCGCATAAATTCCCATTCGCATCTTGTGTTCGTTCGCATAGAGATCGTTAGACGAAACACACATAACAAAACATGACCAAATTATATATATATACACACAACGCATTCGTATATGTCCTCTCTTTCGCTCGCTCTCTCACGCTCAATACTATATTTCCGTGAGAATTTATAAGTATGCAGTTTTTGGAGAGCTTCAACACTTGAAATTGATTTCACGCGCACTCTTTGCGCATCGCCCAATGCTATTTCGCCCCGAAAATTCTTCAGTCTACGGCGGCAAATGCTTCG